GAGGATGCCAGGAAGAGGAGGAGGAGGTGGTGGTGGTGGTGGAGGAGGAGGATGCAGGAAGAGGAGGAGGAGGAGGAGGAGGAGGAGGAGGAGGAGGAGGAGGAGGATGCAGGAGGAGAAGGATTTCGAGGCCGAGGAGACGATTGCGAGGTGGAATCGAGTTGCAGACAAGAATGGACTATGTGAGGACGGGGGGCAGTAATGGGAGAGGAGGGAGATGCGAATTACCTCCTTGTCGTCAGGGTTTCCCTTGTCGTCGTCGATGGTGATGTCTTCATCTCCAGCTGAGATGTTCTCCATCGTCGCGAGGTTACATCTTGACAGAATCTTGTTCTTCACTGTCGCCACCCAACATCAATGAAACTTCCCACGACCACCAAACGCCATCCTGCCCTTCCTCCTCCTCCCCTCTCCTCCTCCTTCCCTTTCCCCCCAACATTCCCATCTTCTCCGTCATCATTCCATCACTACCTCCAACCTCCCCTCCTCTCTCTCCCTCTCTCTCTCTCTCACCTTGCTCCATGATGCCATCCCGGAAACTCCTGATGAACGAGCCGTCTGCCTTGTCTCTCATCGCGAGTTCGATCCTGTTCATCGCTGTCAGAGCTCAACAGGAAAAGACTTGTCGTCGACTTCTGTTCCAGCAGGCTGATGTTCCGCTCGATGCTAAGCAACCGCCGGTGCGGCCAACGTTGCAGGCCTGGAAGAAGGTAAGCCCCTTCCTAGCCCCCTTCCTCCTGCTCCTACTGCTCCTACTGCTCCTACTGCTCCTCCTGCACCCGCTCCTCCTCCTGCTCCTCCTCCCTCTCCTGCCCCTGCCCCTGCCCGTGCCCGTGCTCGTGCTCGTGCTCGTGCTCCTCCACTTACCGTGGCTGCGGCAAACGCTCTTGATAGCTGAGGGACACATGGAGAGAGAGTCCGCTGCCTCGCTAATACTTTTATGGAAATGCTGAGGACGAATGAGACCAGGACGAGGAGAAGGAGGCGGGAGAGTGATAGCAGTGGGAGAGGGTAGAGGGAGGAAGAAGATCAGAATGAACGAAGTGCAGGAAGGGAGGGAGGAAGGGAGGGAGGGAGGGAGGAGGAGGAGAGAGGAGTAGAGTGGAGGAGGGTACAGTACCTTTGCAAGCTCTTCATACCACAGCGGGCGGGTCAAGTTCTTAAACTCGGACTGATGTTGTTGAGGGACCGTGACCTGCACCTCGAGTTACTTCCTTCATGCCCAACTCTTTCCCTCAACCTCGAGGTACGTCAGCGGCGTGACCGTCTCGATGAAGACTTGGATGGAGGACTACCAAACATCGTGTCAGCCTCCTCTTCCTCCTCTTCCATTTTCTCCTCCTCCTCCTCCTCTTCTCCCATGCTCTTCCTCTTGTTCCCAAGTGTTAGCAATGTCACACCTTGTCGATGGAAGGGAGGAACAAGTCGAGGTAAGAAGGACCGAAAGTCTGTCCTGATTCGAAGAACCAGACCTGCGATCCGACCGTCACTTGGTGCTCCTCCTCCTCCTCCTCGTCCTCCTCCTCCTCCTCCTCCTCCTCCTCCTCCTCCTCCGCCCCTGGGGGGGCGCCGTCACTTGGTGCTCCTCCTCCTCCTCCTCCTCCTCCTCCTCCTCCTCCTCCTCCTCCTCCTCCCCCATCCTCCTCCATCCTCCCCTTCTCTATCTTTCTCCTTGTGCAATTCTCTCTCCTCTTTATCCTCCTCCTCCTCCTTTTGCACTTCTTCCTCCACTGCACTCCTTTTGTTCATCGCTTTCTCCTCTCCTCTTCCTACCTGACTAGCTTCAGTTTTCTCTCTGCTACCTGATCTTCTACATCATGGGCGTCTCTTCCGGCCCTTTCTGGGCTAATCGAACTCAGAAGGTAATTTCCTCCCGCCCCGCCCTCTTCCTCTTCCTCCTCCTCTTCCTTCTCCTCTATCCTCCCCGTCTATTCTGCCTCTCCTGCTCTATCCTCCCCGTGTATTCTCCTCCTCCTCCTCTTCTCTCACCCCTCACTCAGGTTGGTGCCATCCCTTCACTCCGGAGAGCCTTCGTCATGTACGGCATCGGCTGTGCCCTCCTTCCTACTCCTTCCCGGTGGCATACTCGGTATATCTCCTCTCTCCTCCTCCTCCTCCTCCTCCTCCTCCTCCTCCTCCTCCTCCTCCTCCTGCTTATCATCATCATCATCTTCTTCTTCTCCTTCTTCTCCTTCTCCTTCTTCTTCTCTTCTCCTTCTTCTCCCGTCGTGTTCTGACCAACTGTCATAACAGCCTCCTCCTCCCCTGGCTGCATCCTTCCTGACGACCCCCGAGGCTAAAGTTTTTCTCTTCGCGCTATGCTACATC